ATATTATAAGCAAGTGAACAATAAGGATATTAGAAGGCGATAAATGCTATTTAAAAAAAAGAAAATCAGTGGAGAGCAGTGAGATCAAGTGTGCTGCTGATGCTGGGGAGGTCACAGTACTGAATAAGGGGGTCAGGGTGGCCTCACTGGTATGTTGAGATTGTGTAAAGAGGTGAGAAAATGAGCCCAGCTGACGCTGGAGGGAGTGTTCCAGGAAGAGAGAGCAGCCGAGTCAAAGTCTTCAGCTGGGAGAGGTCTGAGGAACAGAGCAGAGGCCACAGTGGCTGGAGCAGAATGAATAAGGCAGAGAGCGCTAGGACATGAGATCACTCAGGACTCTAAGACATTGGAGGGCTTGCGTTCTTCCTGCACCAAGTGGTGCTAATGCAGAACTCTGAACAATGACATCTCGTTTAACTTTCACAGGATCACTCTGGCTGCTGAGCTAAGAAGAGACCACAGAGGGGCATGGGTGGAAGCAGGTAGAGGGCTGCAAGAAGACTGCAGTGTGGGTCTCCAGGTCCTGACCCGGAATTCTGAAATCCAAAAGCTGTGGCAAAACTAACCTACAATTAACCTAAAAGTCTTTAGTAGCCAAATTATTGTAAGTATCCCTGTATTTCACTGTAGAAACATGAACACGCTTCAGTATATAATATACAGCATATGCACCTTATTGTTTTCTCAAATCTGAAAAATGTTATATTCTGCAACTCAACAGAATAGAGGGTTTTGCACCTGTACTCCAGGAAAGCGATGGCTTGGACCAGGGTGACAGCACTGGAGATGATAAGCAGTGGTCACAATTCCAATATAATTTGAAGGCAGGGCTAACAGGATTTCCATATTGATTGGATTTGGGTATAAAAGAGTAACTCCAAGTTCTTTGGCTATAGCAATGGGTAGGACGTTAATACCATCTCCTGGGGTAGGAAAGCCTGTGGGTAGAATGTGTTTGGGATGATGATGAGGCACAACTCAACATGTTGTTTGAACAGTCAAGTGCAGAGGTTAAACTTGCGGGTGATATACAAGTCTAAAATTTGGGGGAGAAGTCTGGGCTAGAGATATATTCTTGTTATATTTTTTCTTCCTTGATTTCCTTATAGATTATCAGTCTTTTCTAGGGGGAGAAATAACACACACACATTACAAAGAAAAGCTCCGTTTAACAACCTCTTCCATTAAAAAAGAAATATATATATATATTTTTTTCAGTGGAAAGATATAATTGTTGAAGTCTGGGGCTCTCTGGAGACTGCCAAACTGTGGCTATAATTGACAACACCTGAAAATTTATGAAATGAAAGTAGCTAAATCCTATTCTCAGATCTGTGGAGTGTAAGGATGGCTTAAGAAGTTATTATGCCAGAAGTGAATATTCACTGAAGAAATGGTGTTGAACTAAAACAAGGCTAAGGTTCTTAATAAATATTAGTGAATAAATATTAGTTATTTCTCCTGAATTAAAAACTTAGAACCCTTTCCTTATTCAGAATGTTGGCTATAATCACAAGACAACAATTTAATAAGTGTCCAAAATAACCTCATAAATGCTAATATTAACCACCAGCTACAGCCAAAGATGAAATGAGAGGGGAATTTAATTTGGGGCAGGAGTATTCAAAGGCGGCAAGGCTATCTGTGTGGCACAAAACGGTCTTGGCATAGGATCAAGGTAATTCTTTCCCAGGGCATGTCTTTAAGATCACACTCTATTAGAATGAGTGCTCTCACACATCATTGGAACTCCATGTTTCCCCAATTTTATCCTTTTAAATTTTATTGGCGAACGTCAACGTTATTTTTATTTGTGTTGGTATTGAGAGGAATGATGGGAAAAAGGAGGGACCTTTACAAAAGAGAAAACATTAAAAGACTCAGAAAGGTACTGATATCCATGTTAGAGTGCATTTTTATATTAAATAACCAAGTTTTTATGACCATACCTTAAAGCAGAATAATACTATGTTTACTTAAGCATCTATGAGTAAAAATTGCATTGTAAGATCACAAAAAGATTTAAAAAAAAAGAGTAAGAAAGAGAGACGGTAGAGGGAGAGAAAAACGGTGATAAAAGTTACAAAAAATACGGTTTTCAAAAAATGAGATATACAGTATAAAATATATTATTTAATCTATCATCTACTTCCTCTAAAAATTACATTTATTGCCCAAAACATACACAATTACAACTACATCAGAATTAGAGACTCTCTATCTCTCTTTAAACTAACAATGAAAAAATTTAATTGTTACGTAAAAGCAAAAGGAAAAAAAAAAAAGCTTTTTCTCTTTTATAAAAAAAGTCACAAACATCGATGTTCTTTTCACATAGTAAAAAAAAACTGCAAAAATGTTCAACATAAAAGAAGTAAAGCTTAGTTCCATCATGGGGAAATGGGAAAAGGAAAACAAAACAAAAACTAGTAATGTCAAAAGGAACCTGGGAGAGAGGAGTGAATGCAAAGGTGGGTAAGAATAAAGGGAAACATGACAAATGGGAAAATACAGGAAATAGACAAGAGCTGTAAAATTGCAAATTTTGGTCTGCTAATAAGGGACCAAACTCTTCCTCCTTCACAACTTGCTTCTTTACTACAGCCTCTGTCTCCCTTAGTGGTACCATCCTTTACCCAGTGACCCATTAAAAATCTGGGAGTCTTTAATCTAGCTCCCATCCAGATCTAACCATCAGTTTACAGCAGATACAAGGGGTCATTGTCCAGTTTTTCTCATCAATCCCTGGCTCAACCCTGTAGTTTATCGGCAGTTTGTTGCATATGCTACGTTCCTACCTTTGTGCCTTTGCTGTACTCTCCCCGTTAACTATAACGCCTCCCTTTTCTCATCCTCTTTGCCCATGTCACTCAGGAAATCATCCCCCCAAATAATCCTTGCCCAAAGACTGATGAGGTCCCTTTCTCTCTGCTCCCATATTGTCCTATACAAATCTCTTTTGCTAATATAATACCACATTTATCTTCTGGGTGACTTTTCCACCAGATTGTAACCTTTTCTGTTTTATCTTTGTAAGCCCAATGCCTAACAGGGCCTGGTATTCTAAAACACACTCAAAAATGTTTACTAATTGAATGAATGGACAGTTAGATTAAAAGCTGAATGGCATGTGATATAGTGAGTCCTCATCTCTGAGAGTTTTCAAGTAAATCTGAATATGTTAGGAGAATTCTCATACTTGATAGAGCTGCGATATTCCTTCCATTTCTACATAGTCTCAATTACCTAATTGACTTTTATTCAGCTCTTCATATTATTTAACAATAGGGATATATGACTTATGCTTTATACAGATAATTCTTTTTATAAGTTTGATTCTTATTCAATGCATGACCTGTGGCTAAAATGTCATCATAAAGATCTTATTAAAAATGTGCTAACACAAAAGACCCTGAAGAGCCAAAGCAATCTTGAAAAAGAACAAAGCGGTAAGCATCACACTCCCTGATTTCAAGCTATACTATAAACTATAGAAATCAAAACAGTATGGTATTGGCATAAAAACAGACATATAGCCCAATTGAGAGTCCAGAAGTAAACCCAAGCATATATGCTCAACAAATACTTGACAAGGGAGCCAAGAATATTCAATGGAGTAGATTGGAAAACTGGATACTCCTACTAAAGAATGCAGCCAGACCCCTATCTTAACACAACTCGCAGAAACTATCCTGAAATGAATTAAACACTTGGACATAAGACCTGAAACCATAAAACTCACAGGAAAAAATATAGGGTAAAAAGCTCCTTGACATGGGTCTTGGCAATTTTTTGGAGATGACCCCTAAAGCACAAGCACAAAATAAAAAATAAACAAGTAGACTACACCAAACAAAAAGCTTCTGCACAACAAAAGAAACAATCGACAAAATGAGAAGACAACTTACAAAATGGGAAAAATATTTATAAACTATATATTTGACATGGGGTCGATATCTCAAATGTACAGGGAATTCATACAACTCAATAGCAAAAAAATAATCCAACCAAAAAATAGACAAAGACCTGAATAGTCATTTGTCCAAAGAAGACATACAGATGGCCAACGGGTACGTGAAAAGATGTTCGCCATCACTAATTATTAGGGCAATTCAAATCAAAACCACACTGCGATATCACCTCACATCTAGCAGCAAAAAAAGACATACCAGATGTGGAGAAAATAGAACCCTCATGCACTGTTGGTAGGATTGTAAGTTGGTACAGCCACTATAAAAAACAGTATAGAAGTTCCTCAAAAAATTTTTAAAAGAACTACTATATGATCCAAGAATCACACTTCTGGAAATATATACAAAGGAAATGAAAACACTATGTTGAAAAGATATCAGCACATCCATATTCATAGCAGTATTATGCGCAGTACAGTAGCCAAGACATGGAAACAGCCTAAGTGTCCACTAATGGATGAATGCATAAAGAAAACGCAGCACATATATACAATGGAATCTTATTCAGCCATATAAAGGAAATTCTGCCATTTGCAACAACATGGATAAAGCTTGAGGGCATTATGTTAAGTGAAATAAGACAGAGAAAGACAAATACTGTATGATCTCACATATATGTAAAATCTAAAAGAGAAAAAAATAACTCAAAAAGAGATCAGATTACTAGGTGGGGGTTAGGGGATGGAGGAATTGGATGGCAGCGATCAAAAGGTACAAACTTCCAGTTATAAGATAAATAAGTCCTAGGAGTGTGAAGTACAGCACGGAGACTATAGTTAGCAATGTTGCATGGTGTATACACGCAAGCTGTTCAGAATAAATCCTAAGACCTCATTGCAGGGAAAATTTTTTTCTTTTTTTATATCCATATGAGATGATGGATATTAACTACACTTATTGTGTTAATCATTTCACAATATATGTAAGTCAAACCATTATGCTGTACCCCTTAAACTTACACAGTGTTGTATGTCAATTATATCTCAATAAAAATGAAAAAAAAAATGTGCTGACATTTATGTGACTTACTGAACACATCGCCTCTAGGTTTCTGAGGATCTGTCTGTATCCTGTTGTCAACTGTAATCTCTCTGGGAGATGTGGTAGCAGCTGGTGCCATAGTCGTCAGTCTGGTGGTTGGTCTTTCTGGCGTTGGTGGTGGTGGAGGTGTTCTGAGTTCTGTGGGTGGGGGTGGGGGTGGAGGTGGAGTAGGCCATGTTGTTGGCTTTGGTGTAGGTCTTGTTGTGGGCTTAGAAGTGGGCCTGTTGGTAATGACAGGAGGAATATATGGTGTTTTCAGAGGCCACCTAGTACTTCCGACATCAGGAATCCAATTACTGTATCCTCCATCACCCTTTAAAATGGTACCATTTCCCTTTGGTACATGAATTGGACCTGAAGGTTCAATCATGACTTTCGGAATATCTAAAAGAGTCAAAAAATTTAAATTAGTGCTTCATTATCTCACTCTAAAAAGTAAAACATCAAATTGTAAAACGAACACATCAAAATATGTGTCAACGAGGCTTACTTTTCACATTTAGAATATTCCTCTACTGTCAGTCATGCTGTTTTCCAAATAACAAATACTTGCATTTATATATGATATGTATTCATCCTGTGGATGGATATAAAATTTATATTGGTGTTTCTGTAATGAGTACGTATTATTTGAAACACAAATATTTTAAGTATTTGTAAAGTGGAAACAGACAGCTATGAGATTTTTTAAATGGAAAAACAGTCTAAATGTTTTAAAAAAGAAATGTATATACACAGTCTATGTTAAGTGCCTCTACAGTACATATATATTACAAAATCATCTGTGGAATTGTCTAAAGAATAATACTTTTCTACACTTTATATAAATTTGACTCATGCAAAAACATTGTCATTAAATGTTCTATATATTGTTTTATAGTTGGTTTTCCTTCCCCCTTATTAATTTACACAATTACTTTTTAAAAAGAAATTTTCAGAGGTCACCAAGATCATCTGTAGAATCTTTTACGTTGATTACTTTCACCAAAATAAATTAATATTTAATCTGCCTGGTACAATATACTCCTGCGGGGAGTATGACCACATGACTCTTCAAAAATTCTTTAATCCCCATAATGTTATGCACTATGATTTTCAGTAAATATTTTACTCCAGAAATTTTAAAAATTATCTATTGTTACATGAAATATATGCTAAATTATGGCCTTTGGTTTGTGAAATGTTTATCTTGGAGGGTATTTTTTCATGTTTATCTACTAATATAGTCATACTCCAAACAGAGCTTATAAAAATTTAAAAAGCAAAGCAGTCCTAAACTGTTTTATACGTGGAGAAAATAGATAAATACGGAAATGATTTTTTAAGTAGTAGAATTAAGAGGCATAAAACAGAGGAACGAAAAATGTAGAATATATTCATATTACTCCACCATCATAATCTAATGCCAATGACACACAAACATTTATTTCTGATTTTAAGAAAATCAAATTCTCTGGAGGGCTCTAACATTTCTTGCCAGCTAAAGGGAAGCTACTGAGAGATTTTAGTCAAAGAATCGAATGCTTTCCAGCGTAGAATATATTACTGAGTCTTTAATTTTTAAAAATACCTGAACAAATGATTTTGTTTGTGGAAAGCACGGAGTAATATTACCAGCTGTACTCCTCTGATAAATTAATCTTGTTCCTTATCTTCCCTAGTAATGGCCTTTGTGCAATACTGTATTTCCTGCTGGAATTCATAACTGGAGACTAGCATTACTCACACACACAACTCAGTCCATCACCCCGGTAGCCTTCTTTACATTTACACTTGTAGGACCCGTGCACGTTGAAACAGCGAGCAAAGCTGCTGCACTGATACTGACCGAGGGAGCATTCATCTATATCTGCACCAGGAAGTAGAAAAAAAAAGAGGTTCGTTTGGGAGATAAATATGATGACATAAAAATATACATACACTCTCAAAAAAAATTTTTTTTGCAGTGTGAAGTTCCATGCAAAATTGGCAGATAAACAAAGGACGTAAAGTACATGTGCATCCAGAACTATTAGTGGTTGAACTCGACTTCTGTTTGTTTAATGCCAGTACCCTCCCCTGCCCCTGGCATCCCCATCATCAGCACAATTAACAGACCTTTCCACACCATAGGAAGGAACAACACAAAGCAACGACCGGAGATTCATTACCGTGACATTGGTATTTGCCTCCAATATACATGAGGTCGAAGCCTTTATGACACTTGCAAATGTAACTTCCAAAAGTGTTGACACACTGCCTAAACCTAGGGCAGGAAGCTCTTCCAGTAGCACATTCATCAATATCTAGAAACACAAGTCAACTGCATTTTAGGAAAAGTAATAGCACGATCAGATGGAGTGAACTTTTAAATAAATAACTGCAAACAGTTGCCTGGCACACAGCAATTCATCATAAACATTATCCAGGTGATTGCCCCCACAGGCAACATAAATTCCACATTCCAAATTTCAATTCATCTTCCTAACCCAGGCTGTCCTCCTCCTGCACCATATCCCAGCACATCCCAGCACCTGCATCCACCTAGTTGCTTGGACTAAAACATGAGTCATCCTGACAACCCTTTATCCCTTAACCCTAAATCATCAGGCACAGTTAATTCTGCCTCTGAAAGATTATCTGAATTCATCTCTTCTCTTCATGCACTGACATTACCCTAGTCTAAGCTGCCATCTCCCAGGCTAGACTGTTAAAAGTCTCCAAACCCATCTTATCCAGGCCACTCTTACCCCCTCCAAAGCATTCCCAGTCGGCCATCAAAATGATTTTATTACAACATAAAATTGGATTAGTACCACACTTAAAATTCTTCTTTTTCTACTTGCTTCTTAAATTAAATCCTCATTCTTCACCATGTCCTCGAAGACCCTGCAAAAAATAGTCCCTACCTACCTCACTTGTTGGGTCTCAAGCCACCACTCCTCATATTCCCACTCTGTACTTGCCACACTGGCCTTTTCTCTTTTAAGATCTCGAGCAGGCCGCCCTCTCTTTCACTGCGCTGCCTGCAATGCTTCCACCTGCTTGGCTGATTCTTTGTGTGGCCGGTGGTCCAAGTCTTACTTTAAGGCTTTCCCTGACTATTTTCTAAAATAGACCGTGTATGTTTTTCTCTCTTAGTATTTGTAATTTTATCGGATATTTGTTTTTCTGTCACCCTCATTAGAATATCAGTTTTGAGAGAATCAAAATCTTGACATCTTGGTCCATTACTGTTTATCTCAGCACTTAGCACAGTGCCTAGGATATAGAAATTAATCAATGTCTCTTGAATCACCGAATATCTCCTTTCATTGAGCGCTTGCTACCTGCTAAAGGACCTCACAGTCCTATACTGCCTTCCTAATTAACAAGGAAGTACCACGCTAAGCTCTTTCCATACATGAGTCCATTTGATCCTCACAATGGTTCTATGTGCCATTACTCCCATTTGGAAGATGAGGAGACTCAAGCTCAAAGAAAGGAAGTCTCTTGCTTAAGGCTATATATCAAGTGTATGGCAGAGCCAGGTTTGAAACCAAAGCCCGGACTCTTAACCACAGTCCTATACTGCCTTCCTAATTAACGAGGAAAAAAATCTAACTCTTTAGTGTAATACATACAAGCTAGCCCTATCTACCTGTCAGCATCATCACTCATGGCCTCTTATGTTCCAGAAATACTAAGCTCTTGTTTCCCTGAACACTATGCTCCTTTAAACTTCGATGCACATGTGGTTCCTTCTGCCTGAAGCTTCCTGCTATCCATCATTTTTAGGAAAACAAGATTTTCATGGTCCATTCACAGAGTAAGGTCTTTTTCTGAGACATCTAATATCTTCTGCAGGGGTGAGTGGCATGCGAAGGAGCCAGTGAAGCTTTGTCTGTATTTGCGGCCGCTTCCCAGCACTAGCATCATCGCCTCAGCTCCACCTCAGATCATTAGGCATTAGATTCTCATAGAAGCACTGGTCCCTGGCGCCAAAAAGGTTGAAGACCGCTGCTCTAAAGGATAGCTAATTAGCTCATGTAAGTAACTGCCTTTTTTTCTTACTCTCATCACTTTTCACTTTCTTCCTTTTCCTAGAGAGGCTGCTGACAGAGATGCTTGATTTTACAACTCACCCACACAGGTCCTCCCGTCAGGAGCCAGCTGCAGTCCAGGAGAGGGGCACTGGCACCGTATTTGTCCTTTGACAACATCACAGCCATACTGACAGTTTGCCATGGAGCAAGTCAGGCCACCTGAAATGAGTGTGACTGGCTGACACAAGGAACAAATTCTATAACCGAAATACCTATGTTCTTTTACTTGTCTTGAAATCAGTGACACTGAACCAACGATGAAGACAAAAGAGCTTCAATTATCCAACAGTCTAAAGAAAGTCAAAAATAAGGGAGAGACAGAAAGATTTTCCTCCTCCAGGGATTAAGAAGATTAAAATGTGAACCAGCTCCCTTATCATCTGGGGAAGATCCCCAATGCATTTGAGGAATTAAAGGACAAATGTAAAACTTTACCTCACATAGATTATCTGGATATTTTCCCAGTGACCAAGGAAAGTGGAGAATTGAGGTATTTTTTCAGATTACTCATGCTAAGTAGTGGTCCTAAGAAAACAGCCACTAACTGTCTCAACCTCCCTAGGGACAACAAATTAACCACCATGCTGCACAATGCTAGAGGAGTCTAGCTTCACTGCCACATGCCATTAAACATGAATCCACCTCATTCCAAAAAGTTCCATGCTAAATATGCGATGCTAAATAAAATTAGCTAGACTTTTTTTTTTTATAAAATACAACCCTATTAGATAGAGATAACTGATAATTAGCTAATTTAACTGATAATTCAGCAAAAATAAAAATCAAGTCATCAATTGTTGGATAGCTATAAATACAACCTCAATTCATTATGTTCGGTCTGCAGGGAATTTTACAGTATTATCCATCTTATAAACACATTCGATGATAGTAGGAAACACCATACATTTCTTTCTTACAAGACTCACATAAAATCTACTTTTCGTTACTATAATCATTTATTTTTATTTCAAGTAGTCTTTTCTTTTTTTAAAAAAAGGGACATAACTTAGTCCTTAGACAATTATAAAGACATGTAAAAATGAAGTGAGAAGATATTTATGAATGGTTTATAATCAATCAACAAGTTTGATGGATGCTTTACCAGCCAACAGTTTAGAATCCATCTTTATGAAGAGCACAAAAGTCTTCAAATAATCACTAATGTTCTTTTTCTAGCTGGAACAGCTCTATGCCCAGATAGAAGAAAAAACATAAGAAAATACACTTAGTTATGTTACTTTTTCTAACTACTATTTCCAAACCAATTTAACGTTGACATCCATGGTAAAAGGATGCTAGCCATCTAACGGGGCAACTTTTATTTTGATTTCCAGTTCCTTAGGCACGTATATAAACACACGCTCACATCCTGTTCAGGAGGAGGACCTGGGAGGCCACTTTCATTCTCACACTGCCAGAGCACAGCATTAAAGAAATCAAGCCCAAAGCACTTATAAGAGTTAAGATTCTTGACATACTTGAGCAGGACCCATCCGGCATGAGCATGTATCCATTGAGACAGTAGCACTTGTAGCTGCCGTAAGTGTTCATGCACCTGTGCTTACACGGCCGCGGCTTCAGGCCACACTCATTTAGATCTGAAAAGAGTGGAAGTTGAAGCAAGACCTCGGCATAAGTGTAAACCATTTAAAATACTTCTCTATATTGAAAAAGGAAGGAGAAAAGTAGGTCAAGCTATAGTATTCCAGTCATTTACATAAGAGATGGAGCCTGTTCACACTGTCTTAATTTTAATGCTGGTTAAAGTAGGGGTGACCAAGAGTTTTCTATCAAAGGTGACTGAAAGCCTTAAAAAACCGAGGAGGCCATGTGAATTTCTGCAGCTTAAGTTATACAATACATGTGATCTCTGTCCACAAAGGACAGTTAGAATACACTGTGCCTATCTCGTCACCCCTAGAAAGAGCAGTATACTGACTCCTCATGGTGCTCTACCATCTACCTGACTCCAACATTCTCAAAATATCTGGATTCTATGAGATTTACTCCTATGTGCTCCTCCTCTTTTAATTTCTTCCTGTCTCTGTTTAAAGAGGATATTATGTGAGCCTATTTTGTTTACAGGGAGTATATGGATTTTAAAACATTATACTGCTTTGACTCTCCCAAAAGAAAGCTACATTTTCAGAAGACAAGAGCTAAATGAATTATAGTGATCACTACTGTAGTTTTTCTTGTCCAGTCTTATAGATTCTATATTGATCTCAGGTTAAAGAAGAAACTTCAGTTTCCTACTTTGGTAATGTATTCAAGTCACAAAATAAACTTGAAAAAAAAATTACTCTCCAAGATATTTTCATTCATTTGGCAGTGAAGGACATATGGAAATACTAATGGATAATAGATAATGGACTATCATTATGTATTTTAGGGTTATTGGTCTAAATGTTAATATGAAATGAATTTATAAATTGCACATGAGCATTTTCCAACCCATTTGAAAACTGCCTCAAGTGAAGATAAAACTCATAATGACATATATATACTAAAATAGCAATGCCCAAAATGTAGCTATCATTAAAAAGAAATATGACCACATATTTATTTTGTCTGGAACTGCCAGCATAAGCACTGATTAGCATAACTTAATTATCTATTAATCTATGTCATCAAATCAGAAATATGGATAAATCTAGTTGCAAGCTGTTTTCGAATCTAATCAAATTTAAATTTGACCTGCTCATGTATTAGAACTCTATATATTTCACTCAATTAAATCACCACGTTACATTGTTTTTAAAACCATCAAATAATTACTGCATCTAAAATTTTAAAAACATTTTACTGACTTTCCAACTTGGTCTTTTCTCTAACCTTAACACAACCGTAAACAGATCCCCAGCTGGGCGAAGCCTGGGGAGATCAAATAACAAACCTTTGTCATCTCCTACACTTTCTTCAATTTTATAGTTTGTTTCTTGCACAGTCAAGGATATTCAAAACTGAGTTGCATTTTATGATATTTCAAAAACAATTTTCCTCAAGATGCTTTGCAGATTATACTATCAATAAAAATTATTTCTCCTGCTAAATTAACTCCACTTCTCATATTCTTCTATCTCATATTTTAATATTTATTAAAAATTAGAGAATCTTTTCAATTTCTAGGAATAGCTGATTATTATTCTTAATACATTCTGCAAATTCACACCTGGCTTTGATAAACCCCTGAATGATATTATAATAAACAGTATTTAATCTAAAAGCATTGTTAGAGAAAGGCTTTGTGTTTTAAATATTTTTCTGTATGAAGTAAAAATAAAATAGTACAATCCAACAAAAGAGTAGAGTAAGACTGAATTCTGTATCTCAAGGGAAGATTATTAATGGGTATAAAATGTATCAATTAGGAACTCTGAGGTCTATTTTTAAAGAGCCACAAACTTTTGTAGGTTTCCTGATGGGAACTGATTAAATGTTCATAGCTCCAGAAAACTCATGTACAAGCAGTATTTATGCTGATGGAGACTTCTCCGGCACTGTGTCTATGAACTAAAACTGAGGCCCAGCTGAGGCAGCTGCATTCTTGGCCAATAAAGGGCTCCTTAGGACAGCTCTGAGAGTCTCCACGAGACTGGGGCTGCTGGTGGTCTTCAATCCAAATTTATCCTTCTCTGCCCAAAAAGTACTTTGGAGTAAAGAATCATGAAACTGAAAGGAAATGAAAAATCAGTAAGATGTCATAATTACAAAAGAACCTGGGAATCTCTCTATGAAACAATATGGAAAAGGAAATAAACTGCGACATTCAATAGGTAAATTGTAGAGACATTTCTTGATTATTTTACTGTTATTAAATTGACATGTAAATATCCAAATATGTTGGAAGCGATTGGAGAAAGCTGTACTCTACCAGCTGCTGACTGAGTGGCTGATTCTCCCTGACTGGTGTTGATGTCCTCAATGACTGCCACCATTGCCCCACCTGCCATTAGCATTGTCTCCTAAAAACTTCACAATGACCCTTACAAAACCCACTGCAGTAATTATGAAATAAGATTCCACAATAACCCATAATTATCGGTAGTTATGAAATATGAGACTTTTGCTAAAGCAGGGAGCTTCAGAAGATTAAAAGCATCTGGTATCCTGGGGATGAACTTTTTCCCTCAATCTTCTTCAGGGTTTCTATTCTACAGTTATTTTACTTTATTTTCTTATTGACCTAATACCTTATAAAATTGAGTAAATACAGGCTATTTCCAAAATCTCTTGGATTATAGAACTAGTGAACTAGTATTACTATCAAATTAAGTCCAAAATTAAAAAGACTTCCCATTTATAGTAAATGCTCATATAATAATAAAATGGAACAATATAAAGAACATGAAAATTTTCCTTGATCACACATTGTCAAGTCAATCTTAAAAGTTGGTAAAAGAACCTAGGAAAGAAAGTTTTAGTGTTTTTTAAAATTTAGGTTAGCTCTTTCTCTAAAGTTTATAATATAATATAAATTATAAAGAAAACCTATAATAAAAAATTAATGAATTCTATCATGTAGCTATGTTATCAAAGAACAGAACTTTACAATTAAACCTCTTACATTCAAATGCTTTAATTATTAAGTGTATAGTTCTTAAAGAGCATCTATAAGCCCGGAGTATACTTAAGCAGGATTGTGGATTCAGGAGCTTGGGTATGGGGAGGAGGAGGGGAAGAGAGCTGATCCAGAATATAAATGCAAGCTGCATAGCATTATAATTACACTTCAGGAAAAAAAAAAAAAGAATTAGAAATTTTATCAGCATGCAGACACTGAAAAGTAGCTTGAAAATCTGGAAAAGAATCACTGAATAAGACAACCCAATAAATTTTTTAAAGGAAAATAATCTTTCATTCATTTAATAGATTTATTTTTTAATGGACTTATTTTTCCCATGGAGGCTTAAACTGGGCAATGTCTCAGGAGTCTAAGCTTTTACATTTTATCTGACTAAAGTGGAGGTCATAGGCAGACAGATGACAATGTCAACTGCCATAACTTTTATTTTTTAAAGACAGCAACAACATCGATTATCTTAAATTAATCCCATTGCCCTACTTCTTGGCGCAGGAGATATAAAAATGCATCCAGTTCCCTATTAGAAGAGACACAGTAATTAATAATTTAAACAATTTAAATTCAGACATTCTAAGTTCCTAAATCTATGAGGGGGTGAGGATAAAGTCTTTTAGAAAAACTGTAAAATCATGCTTCCACCTATGTTTTCTACAAAACTTTCCAACAGAATGAAAACATTGTTATTTTTCCTGCAGGCAAATAGGGCAGGAATTACACTCCTCCTATTACTAATTATTTTTCTAAACCCAGACACATTAAATGACTTGCTCGCAATCAGTCAGGTACTTAAGGGCTGTAATGGAACCAGAACTTAGCCCTTCTAATGTTACAAAATGTACACAAAAAGAAGGAAGCTAATATATTATTTCATTTCCACATAACCCAAAACTCTATACCCCAAATACAGAGGTGAAGAAGACATGATTAATTTTAAAATCTACTTAGCAAAAGCCATCAAAATCCTGATTTCAGTTGCTTTGGAATTCCTGACTTCACCTACATATGAAAATCAAATTTATTTCGTTACCCGATTTTTAGAAAACATTTTGAAATCCATAGAAGAAGAAGAAAAGCAATGACACTTGATGCAGTGAAAGGACAGTGGAGGCTCCAAGCTTTATTAGAGCACAGAAATCAGCCC